AGACCTCTGAGCCTCAGTTTCCCCTGCTGTAGGACAGAGATACTGCCGGAACTAAATGCTTTAAGGTAAATCGAGTGCTCCGTAGTCTTAATAAATAGGAAAGTCTTCATAAATTAGTATTACTATTGGCCAAAGAGCAGGATGAGGGAGACCAGAGGTCACTGATCCCAGAGCACGCCTCCCGGCTGTGTGCAATGTAGTAGACACGTAACTCTGCCTGGGCGTCCCCACAGTGGTTTTCTGCTTCGCTTCGCAGGTGAATGGTACTCATATTCAACATTCACAGAATAATTGGTTTGATCTTTCTGTCACACCGTCTGGAAAGAAATGTGTTGCAATAAACTAGCATACTTGCCCTGAACCTCACAGAAAATGTCCTAAATCACTTTTGAAATAAATTAGTTGGTGTTTTTGTTTGTTTGTTTAATAATAAAAACAAAAGCTAGATAGTAAGAAAGTGACTAAGTAATTACGAGCATGTCAATTTGAGGAAATCCTAGCCATTTCAAACGACCTGTGTATGGGAGTTAGGAATGTATAAATGGAATAATGTCCATTGAAAAAAGAATAATTCAAAATATCCATTGATTAGCGTCTTGTTAACACATCTACATACATTAACAAAGAATGAGAAACTGTGAAGGGACAGGCTCTTTTTCTCTAAAATTGCTTCAGTCTAGAAAAGATTTTAACAGTGAGTAAAAAGCACAATGTTCTATAAAATCTTTCTGGGAAGGGCAAATTATAAAGGCCTACCTTAGGCATTCCTTTGGCCAAAACAAGGGGGCAAGGGGAAGAATGAGTAAGCCCAAAGTAGATGAAGGCTTGTTTCATCAGAATGATTGTAAAATAAAACTGGACCCTTTACTCAGGGACATTCTTTCTGCAACATGCACCACAACATCTTTTTATAGGAAACTAAGACCCCGTCTTCTCCTATCACCCGCCCACCCCACGTCTCTGCCAAATACAAAACCTTGTCAGTAACCTTTGGACAGGTCCTTACCAACCAGGGAAACACAGATGGAATAGGAATGGATCTTTCTGAAATGATCCCCCCACTCTGCCTGCACGGGGACCAGTTCTGCCCATGTTCAAAGCTTAACTGAGTGAAGTGTGGGAGCCAGCCGCCGAGGGAAGCTGCCCGCTCAGACCATGGTCCCCACTCCAAACGCTCCCTCAGCCTCCCTCGCAGGCCCCAGGGAGAGAGCTTGAGACAGCGGTAGATTGGATTAAGTCCGAACAACACGGAACAGCTTATATATAGAAAATAACTTCTTTGATCTGTTCATTACAAACACACACACACACACACACACACACACACACACAAATTGAGGGTAAAGGACTAGCTTCAAGTTTTGATGAATGTTCTCTCATCTGTAACTTGTTCCTTCAATTGGTCATTTGCGGAACTAAAATACAAAACCACGAAGATAGCTTGTCCACTGATTGAATGTTTTGTGAGTTTAGTGGCAGAACTGCTAACCAGAATTCCCCACGAGAGTGATTTTGGAATTACTGATCTGGCCCATTCATTCTGTCCTTAGTGAACCCCTTCCTTGTGACTTGACTTTGTTTATGTGTATTATTATTATTATTTAAATATATTTTATTGATTTTTTTTACAGAGAGGAAGAGAGAGGGATAGAGAGTTAGAAACATCGATGAGAGGGAATCATCGATCAGCTGCCTCTTGCACACCCCTTACTGGGGATGCAGCTGCAATGAAGATACGTGCCCTTGACTGGAATCGAACCCGGGACCTTTCAGTCCGCAGGCTGACACTCTATCCTCTGAGCCAAACCGGTTTCAGCAACTTTTAATTGAAAATTATTTTGGTGCTGACATTACTTAACTGTTAGGTTAGCTAAATAAAATTTCTCTTTGTTATCAAGACTTGTCTCCCCACACCCCCTCTAACCAGCTTGAGCAAGTTGATAGGAAAGGAGTGAAGGAAGACTGCAGAAAAAGCCAAAGCAGTAGTGGTTAAAAAGCAACGTCTTATTTTAGTTTTGGAAACCTCTGCCAAAAAAAGGAATTGCTAAGCAAAACATGTCTGAAGGGGAGAAAGAACTGTGGGTTTGAGTGAGAAGGGGACTTGGTTCTGGGCTCGGCATTCCCTCCAACGGGTTTTGCCCTAAGCTGGTAACAGAGAACCTAACGGTCCCCTCATCAGTCAGCAAGGAGCTGGGGTGAACAGACCTTTAAGTTCCAGTTTTAACCTTCCATAATTCTAATTCCTATCGTTCCAAATTTCCTGCCTCCAAATGTTGGTCCCAGCACACCCCATTCCCTGCCGCCCGGAGTCATGGCGAGGCCCCGTTATTCCCTGTGTAGCCATTGGCCCCGACCTTGGCAAGTCACCTTTCCTCCCTGGGACTTCTCTGGCCAGCCAGGCGGGAGGAGGGTGAGATGCCCGGCTGCTTCCTGCCTGCCTCGCTGGGGTTGTAAAAACCAGTGCAATTTCACGAAGGATGAATTCCTCCAAGGCAGATCCTGCCTGGGTAAAATGTCTCAGTACTTCCGCTGTAATGATTGCTGAAACATTCAGGAATCATGAGGTATGCGAAGAAGGAGCAGGTGTAAGTCTGCCCGGTGTTTATGATAAGGACGTGGAAAGAGGGCTTAGAAGGGTCCCACTTCACTTCCAGATAAAGACAGGGAAACTGGCCGAAACCGGTGTGTCTCATGGATAGAGCGTCGGTCTGCAGACTGGGGGGTCCCAGGTTCGATTCCGGTCAAGGGCATGTGCACTGGTTGCAGGCACATCCCGGGAGGGGGTGTGCGGGAGGCGGCTGGTCGATATTTCTCTCTCGTCAACGTTTCTGGCTCTCTGTCCTTCTCCCTTCCTCTCTGTGGAAAATCAATAAAATATATTTTAAAAGGGGGGTTGGGGAGGAACTGAGGGAGTTGAAGTGGTGAACTCCAGGCCATCAGCTTACTAATATGGCATGGCATGTCTGTGTCTCCTGGCTCCCAGCTGAGGGTTCTTTCTAATACCTTAAAACAGAGGCCCTGGAACTGGCTCTTGGTTTCCAAAACCTTTCTCGGGATGGCTCTGAAACCGAGCGTGGATGTACCGTCCGCTCTGATTTGGTGAAGAAAACTTACCTGTGACGTTATTCAGTGTAGGCAGCGTCTGTGCACTGGTCGGGCAAAAATACCCAGCAGTCAGAGGATCCTCACTCATCCACTTTCTCCCACAGTTCCCACTTGGGTCCTCTCTGAGACAGCCTGCTAGGCGCTGGTACAAGGGGGCGCCAAGGAACCCCTGAGTCCGGTTTCACATAGCCAAAGTGGCCTGGCTTCCTCCTCCTGGGCCAGGAGCCTGGAATCACAGCCAGCGGCGTCTCCTGGGCGAGAAAAGCCTGAGACTCAGCTTGGAGGTGGAGGGAGAAGGTGGCCTGCCTCCCTTGCCTCCCACCTCGTTCGCGTCACGTTCAACCCAGATTCCTAGATTGGTGATCTCTAGTTCTTCCCATCGGACATATCTCATCATCTATTTACTGAACATGTATTAATTAAGCGCTAACTATATGTGGGGCTCTGCAGAGACCCGAGAGAGCCAGGGGGGGGACTTAGGATTGTGATCAGAGCCTTTGAGTTTTGGACGGTCCCGGATCCCTCCCTGTAATCGTGTTCTAAGTTTTGGGGGCATCTATAAATGTGCATTTTTCTTGGGAGAGGGTCCTTAACTTTGATCAAATCTGTTGTTACCCTGTCACCGTTAAGGACACGGTGGGTGAACACTAGAACCTTGCTTCATGCACCCGCTGTCCCGGTCAGATGTCCTCATCCTGCCTATTGTGCCGAGACCACGGGGCTGACAGAGTGTGAACAAGTGCGGCGGGTCTGCCTGGAGCTCCGGTATTTCCCGTGGAGCCTCAGGAAGCTGTGCCTGCCCTCCCACGTCCAGGCCCCACCTCTGTAGATTCTGCCCCAGGGGTCGATGTCCTCCTGCCTATCTTGGCTTAGCAGCTGCAACCCCAGACCTCAGTGAGCCCCGGGGAGGCCACGGCTGGCATGTGGACAGAAGTGGGGCCACTCCTGGTCCTCGAAGACCCTTTCATCCAGCCCTGGCCGGTCCTTCCGGCCATAGTGAGCCTGCTGCTAGTCGGGTTGAAGAACTCCCTGTTTATTTTCTTGGGAGTCCTGCCCTCCCCACTGCTCTGAGGGACCTTGTCACTCCCAAGTAGCTGCCCGGGGGTCACGTTGGCTATATGGCTCTCCCACTGTGTTCAGGTGGCACCTGATGTCCCCTCTGCTCGTCCTGTCAACGCTGTTTTGCAGAAGGTGGGCCTACTAAATGCCCCTCACGAAAATCTGGGTTTAGCGTATCAGCGTGCCATTTAGTACCTTAATTCAGGAAGTCATCATTGCCGGTGGGTGGGAGGGGAGCAGCTGTCATGAGACACCGTAGTCAGTAGGCCAAGGAGATGTGTTTCGATATGTGGATTTTCATTGTAAGTTACTGATCAGAGTCTCCACTGGTATTTGTGGAAATATCATTTAGAAAGTTTTAACAGCCGAAACTGGTTTGGCTCAGTGGATAGAGCATCAGCCTGCAGACTGAAGGGTCCTGGGTTTGATTGGGGTCAAGGGCACGTATCTTGGTTGCGGGCACATCCCCAGTGGCAGTGGGGGAAGGGTGTGTGTGCAAGAGGCAGCTGATCAATGTTTTTCTCTCTCATCGATGTTTCTAACTCTCTCTCTCCTTTCCTCTCTGTAAAAAAAATAAATAAATAAAAATAAAAATAACAATAAAATATATTTTAAAAATAATTTAAAAGTTTTAATAAAGAAATTGAATAAGGCAACTACTCAATCAGGGGAAAGAAAAAAAAAAAAAGACAGCCCGTGGTCAGAATTGAGGCTTCCGTGTGCGGACGTTGTTAGGGAAGCACTCTCTCTCTGCCTGCTGCATGAGTGAGGCCTGAGTGTGTGAGACGCACCTGCTGCCGAGCATGTGCTGAGCTCCGTTCTGTCTCCCTCTGTAGAGAGAAGACACGGTTCAATGTGCAGACCTCCCTCGCCAGCGTCTCCGCCCTCCAACTCCAGGACATCCCTAGCCCAGGTGAAAACAAAAGCCTGTGTCAGCGGCCATAACTCTGCCAGCAGCACCTCAAAGCCATTCAAAACGCCCAAAGACAATCTACTTACCTCCAGCAGCAAACAGCACACGGTCTTTCCTGCGAAAGGATCCAGGGACAAACCATGGTAAGTGTCCGGTGCCGGCAGCCAGCAGCCGCCTGTCCTCGGTGCTCGGCCCCGTCACCGCGGGAGACGGTGTTTACTCTCTGGCTTTGTGCCTGGGCGTCGTGTTCGAAGGAGGGAAGGGACAGAAAACCCAAATGACGGGGTGAGAAACCGAAACGGGAGGGAACACGGGACCGTAAAGTGCCGGATGCCTAAGAGCTGAGCCAAGCTGTGTCTAAGGAATGGGTAACAGGGAAATGTTCCTCGGGGATGCGGTCGCCTGTCAATGTTCTGCCCCCGTGAAGAGCAGCATTGGTGTGAATGATCAGAGGCACAGTCAGTCTGCCCCACGGGGAGCCAGGCAGGCCCCCCGCAGAGCCTCCCTGCTGTGAACAGCTGGATTCTGCTGCTCGGATAGAGCTGCCAGCAGAGGCAGGCGATGGGGGGACTGACCATGCGAGGAAGAGAGCAAATCCAAAGAGAAGGTCACCCCTTTGATGGGGTGGGACAGAGCTGGTTGCAGGGGACCGAAAAATCAGAGACTTTTAATGCATTGTTGCATCTCAGCCTTTATCAAAAGTCATAAAAGCTACCTGCGGCAAGGACAGATAGGAAACCAGAGTGAAATCGAGGACGGGAAGCAGAAGATGCCTTCAGGCTACCTCTGAGGTCTTGCGCGTTGCAGGCCATCGCCATAAAGCGAGTCTCACCACAAAGTGAGTTACAGTATTTTTGCTGGTAGAGGATCTTGTCTTCCATTTGTAAAGAAATACAGTATCTGCCCTGGCCAGTGTGACTCGGTTGGTTGAGCATCATCCCATGCACGCAAAAGTTGTTAGTTCAATTCCCGGTCAGGGCATAAGCCCAGGTTGCAGGTTCAATCCCTGGTCTGGGTACTTGCAGGAGGCAACGGATTGTGGTTTCTCACATCAATGTTTCTCTCTCTCTCTTTCTCTCTCTCCCTCCCCTTCTCTCTCTCTCTCTCTTTCTCTCTCTCTCTCTGTCTCTCAAATCAATAAAAGTATTTTTTTTTAAATGCAACATCTGTAAAGTGAAGCACAGTAAAACAAGGTATGCCTGTAGCTTCAAATGCTGAGGGACCCAAATTGGAACACTTAAGGACTGGCTTGGTACAGAGCCCCATGAAGACAGGCAGGGGATCATTGTGGAGTCTGTCCGATTTACATATTTAAAGAGAAAAAGTGTTCCGTTAATGAGTGATAGTTAATTACACTTAAGTCCATACCTAGGAAAGCAGTGGACTAAACTCATCTGTCAATCAGTTTGTTGTGGCATGCTGGAAATTACGATGACTTTGTAACAAGCTGATTATGCCAGGTCAAGTAAAGAGCCTCGTGGTCGAGCGTTTAGCCACAGCTGTCAAGGAGGGGAGTTACCCGTCCTGCCGGTGGGCCTCGTGGACAAGCTTTGCTCTCTTCTGACCGCTAGGATCTGAGATCAGTCCTGTAGGAGGATGCAGCTGGTGAGGGGAGAACAGCCTGAAAGTGACAGTGGTGGTGGCTCTGGGCCTCTGGGAGCAAGTCTCCCTCTTATCAGTGACCTCAGCACCTGAAGGCTGTTTGTTGAGGCAACATTGGGTGTCCTGATGTAAGCACGAGCTCCAGAACTGCTGCCTGTGTGCAAATCTCAGGTGGGTGGCTCTGGGCAAGTTGCTTGCTCTTGGAGTGCCTCCGTTTTACTCATCTGCAAAATGGGACCAGGAGTAACTCTGTCCCATAGGATTGTTGTGAAGGCTCAGGGAACTACCTCTTATAAAAGCAGCGAGCGCATTGTCTGGAGCAGAGTACACATCCGCTAAATAGTTGACGATGACGTTATCGTCGTGTGATAAAGGACAGAGCTCCTGTAAGCGGAATAAAAGTTGAGAACTCTAATACCTCTGAAAAAGTAGAGAAATGGCTCTGACTCAGACTGAATTTGAAAATGGAAAAGGATAACGTCCTTTCATTCGGAGTCCAGAAGTGAGCCACAGAGAACCCAGATGAGGAAAGTGAGGCAAGGGGCCCAGGGGAAATGAGCCGGAAGGAGACTCCGGGGTCACAGGGGATCACAAAATGAATACAAGACATGATAAATGGTAAATGTGGTCCCAGGGAGGTGAGGCCCGGCACCAGAAATCCTCCCAGGAGGCTTTGGGAAGACCTGGGATTAGATCAGTTTCCACATTTGATTCAACCGACTTAACTCGTACTTAACGAGACCTGCTGTGGGCAAGGCCCCTTCCACTAGACTAGGGGTGTCGAACTCAATCAGAGAAGGGGCCAAAATCTAAAATCCAGCCTAAATCGCGGGCCGAATGGTTTACTGAACAGTCATAAACTGTCATTGTGATGGAAACGCAGCGGAGTACAGTGATGACAGCGCGGTGCGGGCCACATTGCAAGGCCTGGCGGGACGGATTTGGCCCGCGGGCCTTGTGTTTGACACATGTGCACTAGACTCTAGTGACTAGAGGCAGAGGGTGGTTTTGAAAGAACTGGTGAAAACTAGCCAGGGCCCAAAGAAAAGCAACCAAAAGACGTACAAGGAGGGAAATAGCTCTTATAAGAAAAAGGGCTCCACCAAAACCGGTTTGGCTCAGTGGACAGAGCGTCAGCCTACGGACTGCAAGGTCCCAGGTTCGATTCCGATCAAGGGCATGTACCTTGGTTGCGGGCACATCCCCGGTAGGGGGGAGGTGTACAGGAGGCAGCTGATTGATGTTTCTCTCTCATCAATGTTTCTAGCTCTCTATCTCTCTCCCTTCCTCTCTGTAAAAAATCATTAATATATATATATATATATATATATATATTTTTTTTTTTTTTTTTTTTTTTTTTTTTTAAGGCTCCAAAAACTAGACCCCTTGCCTTATGTAAAGAACAGAAAGCTAAGGGGCAATTGACCTAACTTGAAGTAGGTAGACATCTGAAAACAGACCCCAGCTGAGTGTTGATTACAGCGGTCTCACCTCCCACCAGTCAGGCTACCACCCACCCCCCTACCGGTTTCGGCACAGCACCTATTTTTAAATGTTAACGATTTAAAATGAAATAAATGTTAAGACCGAGTTCCCTATCCAGCACAGACCTGGACATCGAGGCCCTGGGAACCTGGGTGGGTCTGCGCTCCCTGCCACCAGGGTACATGGGGGTGGCGCCTCCGTCTCTGTAATGTGCTTCCAGACAGGAGCTTCCAAAATGGAAGGAACTCTGGCTCCTTTCTCACGTGAGCCTGCAGCTGAGTGTGGGGTGGAACGGGGAGCCCGGGGGCCCGACCGGGGGCCGTGCAGTCTCCACGGCTGGCGTTCCCCTCCCCTGCTCCAAAGGAGCTCCGGCTGCACTGGCCCTGGAGCCAAGCAAACGGCAGCCACACTTGGCCTGTAGGCAGCCACACTTGGCCTGTAGGCTGAAGCGAACAGCCGGTCGGAGGGCACCCTTCCTCCAGCAGCTCAGGTGCACGTGTGCAGTGACAAACGCCAGCGCTGGGTCCAGGCAGACTTCCCGTCCCCTCCCATCAATGCAGGTGGTCTGTGGATTTGCTGTTTCTCCCCTTCTAAGTCTGAGGGGGTTAAAGGTAACTCTGCCTTAGCAGAAAGGGCGGAACAGAGAGGCACTCTCCTGGACACGTCCCCTGCAGCACTGCCCCCTGGCCCTGCCTCCGGGCTCCCCGGGCCCCTGTCTGTCCTGCTGGGAGAGGTAGAGACCGTCCCCAGTGGACGTCAAGGGGGAGTTAGGATGCTTCAGCTCTGAGGAGCATTTCAGACTTTACTTGTGAGTCCTCCTTTTCCAGGGGGCTGGCCCTTTATACTGGGGACCGAACGGGCCAGTCTGACTTTCACACCTGCTGTTGCTGCCGTGCCCCTGGTCCAGCGAGCCTGCTGAGCTGCTGGGGAACACAAATCCTGGGATGTGGGCGGGAGCAGGGAGGAGGTTTTTCCTCCCCTGCATGGCTTGTTGCCTTCTCCTTGGGCCTTATCAACCCACGCACGTGTGCTGCATGCTAAATAGGCTCGGCTATTAAAAATGCAGGAGATGGGCCTGCTGCTCCAGGAGGAAAACGAGCCAAAGCAAGAGAAAAATCAGCAGGCGCCCGGCCTCCCCCGCGTGTGCGGACAGCGCGGTGGGAGGAGGCTGTCACCTCCTCTGGACGCTGCCCCCGGGAGGCGTGTCCTCCCTGAGGGGGAGCTGGGGCAGGGGAAGGGCTCTGGACGTCTTCCCAGCGCTTTATGGGGAGAAAATGATAGCTGAGCAGCCCTGGCCCAGCGCCTTAGGAGAAATGGGGCTGGCTTATCGCTGCTTGCCTGGCGTTGCTGTGAACTGGGGACAAGAGCCAGGATTGCTGGCCCAGAGGAGTCCTCTCGGGGCTTCTGTCGGGCTGGGAAATGCTGCAGACCCCAAGCGGTGGGCTCACCTCTCCGACCACCCCAATTCCTCAGCAGGATCTTGCAGTGGCCTCTCTCTGGTCCCCTTGCCCCGCCTGTACTCCCGCCTGCCCTTTGCACCCAGCCTGAGTGCTGTGTGCCCCCGCCCCGCACATAGCATCCAGTGGCCCTCACTTGTTTACCTACAGAGTAGAAGTTTAACCTCTTTGGAGGTGGATATACGATCTGGCGTTTCCCGCTCGTCCAACTGCTGCTGCCAGGACTTTAACCCCTTCGCTTGATGTTCCAGATGTCCTCATCTATTTGTAGCTCCTTGAACATGTCTGCCATGTGTCGGCACATGCTGCTTCCCTCCCCGGAAGCAGCCTCCCTGCCTGTCCTTACACATGTTTTAAAGTCTCTGCATGAGCATCCCTTCCTCCATGAAGCCTTCCTGGACTTTTTTTTTTAACTATAATTATTTTTTTATATAGTTTTATTGATTTCCAAGAGGAAGATAGAGGGAGAAAGAGAGAGAGAAACATCAATGATAAGTGAGAATCATTGACCAGCTGCCTCCTGCACACCCCACCCTGGGGATCGAGCCCACAACCCAGGCATGTGCCTTTGGCCGGAATCGAACCTGGGACTTCTCAAG